TAGAAGCAAGGTTCCTTCCAATGTTTTTGATACAATGGAGAAGTGAAAACCGTGTTACTTTGGGGAGAGAACGAAACTTGCTGTTGTCCAATCCATTGAGTTTGTTTTAATTTTGGTTAATATGGTTCAGTGAGGAGACGATTTAAAAGATCTTGTGCTGTTCAGTGGTTTATGTGCATTTTAGTGTTGGTTATATTGAAAAGAAGTTATTTCATTAGCGTTGTAAGTAAGTTAATAATATGATATATTGTGTTTGATAAAAATTTAGATTAATTTGAAATTGAAATAAAAAATATTTGAAATAATAATATATTGTTTCATTATTTCTTTATTTCAAATTTGACAAAAAAAAATAATTATAATAACAGTTATAATAGAAATTAAGAATAACATATTATATGAATATATTGAATATATTTATTAAACAATAACATTTGAAATAATTTGAATTATTGAAAATAATTTCATTTCATAAGTTTTCAATTCTCAAGAGAAACTATTTGATTTAATAATATATATTGGTAACTACACATTTAATTAATTTTATAAATTATATTATGAAAAATTCTATTTTCTTTTTATATATATATGCAGAATTAAAATATATTATACATATGTTTAAAAGATGTCTATATTATTATTTATATTTATATATATAAATGTAAATTAAAGATTTTTTATTTTAAGAATTATTTTAAGAATTATTTCTTTGGACAAATTTGAAATAAATAAATTGCAAAAATTAATTTATTATTGGATATTATTTTAAATAATTTGATATTATTTATATTTTTAAATAACATTATTGAAAATGATGAATAAATTATATTTTATTTCAATTTCAAATAAAATTTATCTAAATCTAATGAAAGTTTATAACTGTTTATAAGTTCCTTTTCAATGAATAGATGTCTAATTGATTATGTCTCAAATATTTTGTGATTATAAAAGATATATTTAATTGATTTGATTATATATACGATATTTCAAACATTTATGAATTCTTCATTTGCGGATATATTAACATTTATGTGATTCGTCATCTAAGCGTAAAACAAAAGACTATTCAGAATTATGAACATTCTATATATATCATTGATGACTCGTCATTTATTAATTTTAATTTGCTAAAATATTCAATTATATTATCCATCTTATATTAATAAAAATATAAGAATATAAATAAATATATTTTATTGAGAAATTTTAATAAGATTTGTTTAATAATTTAATTGTATATAATATAATAATAATAAATGATTATTATTATTATTACATTTATATTTAACTTCAATAGAATCATCAAGCAAGAAATCAATAAATTCCGGTCACGTAATGGTATAAAGGACTAATTACTTCTTGAGAAGACAGAATATAGAAACCGCAACTTTATCTTCGAGCAATCTCTCCTCAAAGATAAAGCTGTTCAACCAGCTTCATCTATTTCCAAGTTGTTTTCTGTGAAAGACGTTAATCCTTAGTTAGGATATCACTCTATCGAAACTCTCCAATTTTGTATGCAAATTCAGGATGTCTTTCATACTGTTGTAATTGTAATCACTTCTTCAAATTGATGCTCCTTCTTCTATTTTTTTTCTTTTTTTATTTTTATTTTTACAATTTTGTCTCTATCTTGTTTAGGCAAAAAGATGTACACTGAGATGAAAAAGTTTGGAATTTTATAGATAATTAAGTTAAATTTTCCGCTAATTTTTTTTTTTATTGTTAATTCAAAATTAATGCTAGAAATAATAGTATTTTAATAAATTTTAGTTGAACAAATTTTCTGTAATTAATATTCTACAGTATTCTAATTTGATTTCTTTTTTTAAATTTTTGCATTCTAAGAAATATAATTAATTCCAAATTTTTTGAATTGATAGAATACTTTTATTAATTGTTACTTGTGATTGTCGAAGATTTTAAAGTTGACACATAAATCTGCATAATTTTTATAGCCTTTAAGGCAGTTGTGTGAGATTGGTACGTAATAATACTTTATAAGTTTGCTTCTATTGTTATCACTCATCTCTCATCTTTAGTTGACCAGGTATTTCGATCAGGTATCGACTACCTGATCGAAATCCTCTTATTCTACGATAAATTTAAAAATTTATAAATTTTCGCATAATTATTCATTATATGTTATTCATTGCATGGATAAATAATTAATAGTTAAAATGATTGTTCAATTTATCACAACATTAAACGAAGTACTATTAGAATTATGTAATGTTATAAATTAATAAGATATAAACATTTACTTTCTAATGATATAAAGATAAATGTTTGCTTCGGGAACTGTGTTCTCTATGGATAGAGGTTAAAGGTATGTAGGCTAACGGTATACATATAATTGAAAAAAACCAATGAAAGGAACTGAAAGGAAGCTACTTTTGTTTTGTATTCCTTTCATCTGATATATAATCTGCATCTTAGTTTACATTTATATATTCTTTCTTTAAAAATACATTTATTTATCTTCATTGACGAAATATCTTATAAATTATAATATAATTATCTTAAAAATTAAATATATATTTCTTATATTATTTATGAAAAGTATTAAATCAATATCTTTATTATACGTTAATTAGACTTTAAATATATCATCAGATGATATTATTTTATATTTTATTAGAAGATAGTGTTATCTTCTTGAATAAAAAATTGTCACAATAGAAATATTTTACATCTTTATTTTCCATCATTTATTCGCAAACATCTTCATTTTTTTCTATTTCGCACAAAACATACTTTCCACCTCACAAAGTAAACAAAAATCTACTTTTTTCACGCATGGTAAAAACGTTTTAAATCCAGCTACCGTTTATTTACGTTCCATGTTCCTACACCACGGCATCCAGCCACGATATTCGAATAGGAAGTGAGAGAGAAAGAGAGATAGGAGAAAGGTATCCGATCAGGATATCTAAAAGCCAAAGGAAATATCGTTCATTGTTATTCGGTCGTGTCCATTGCACCGTACAGTGTGTTGCGTTAATATGCTTTATCATTGTGCCTTGACGGGAATGGAAACCAGATATATACCCCGGCAGGCTACACCTACGAGGCTATACTAACGCAACATTGGCACCAACCGAGAAAGATGTAGCAATCTTTCCTCTGCGCGCTGTGTCCATTCTTTTTTTATAACAAAAGGGACTAGATACGTCAACTGCACGATTGGACATGAGTCACTGTCATCGAGCCGAATCTCGGGGAAACTTTCGTTTTACTCGTCTCAATATCGTTTCGATATATCGTCATTTGAATGTTCTTGATTATTCTTCGGTAACTTGAGTGGATAAGACAGTCAAGTTGTCGCAAATGAAATTTAAGAGAGAAAGTGGATTCGTTGAAACTTAATCTTTCGTGAATATTTTTTAGAATTTGGAAATTTTTTTGGTGTATGGAAAAAGTGGATTTAATCGGAATATCTGAAAATTTGAAAAAAATTATACTTGTATGATTTTTTTTTTTTTTTTTTTGGTGAATCGAGTGAAAAAGCGAAGTTAATTGAAAAAGAATATTTATGTGTAGTTTCTTTCGATTATCTCTAAGAATTTGAGGAAAATTATACATGAGTTTTTTAATTTTGATGGAAAAAGTAAAATTAATCGTTTTATCTTTGAGATAAAATACTACTTGATTTTTATTTTTGGTGAATTGAAGAAAATTTGTGTATTTGATTAAAATTTAATTTTACTTAAGCCTAATGTGTAAGAATTGTATCTTAATTTTATTAGAAATTCTTACTCAAGAATGGTTGCAGTGTGTAAAAATTGAAAAAAAGTAAGATTTTAAGCAATGAACTTTGAGAAATTTAATCTTTGTGCATGATTTCTATTAACTATTAATTTAAGAGGAAAATTAATAAAAATAAAAAAAAATTTCTATAATCTATCCTATCTACGATTGGTCATAAGTGTCCATATCTATATTATATATACTTTATTTTGTTTAGAATCATCAGATTGACAGAGGAAAAGAATAACTTGTAATTTTATTTCATCATACCGAATAATTAAAAGGCAAAATAGAATATACCGAGAAAAGATATATACTATATACATAGATATACTATATGCTATATAGATATATACTATACTGTACAATACTTACAATTAGATAACCTTTATGACCAATTGTATGACGTCTCTATTTTCACAACAACTTTTCGGCTAACAATAAATCCGGCAAAGAATTTCAGTTGCCTTATAGTTAAGTGTTATACAATAACTGCAATTAATAAAACATCAATGCAATTTGTCGTTACATCCAACGTGTCGATTACCTTATGCATTTCCGTTTCGATTGTTCCCTCCAATGTCAAATTTAGCGAAGGCGGATGTCCTTCGACGATCGAAGAATGTCACGCCTTTTTTTAATAATTTTCAGATTAAAAATCCTCGAGATTACATTCTCGAGATTTTTATTTTCATTTCGATATCCATCAATGAAAAATTACTCTCGATTTAAAATTAAAATTTATTCATAATTATCCATTATGCAAAGTTGTCAACACTCTTATAATTACTCGAAACTCTCCAACAGTTTTATTCTAAAACATTTATTTCGAAAGTGTCGTCGTTGATTTCCGTTGAGGAACGCATCACGTGCGTTCGTTTGCGCGAGTACTATAGTATTGACGATCGCGACACCTTGGCAAGCGCATAGTCATAACTTCGATTTAACCGGTCAATGAATAATCTGACAATCGACTCGCCGATCGACAGCGCGTAGAGAAACGCCCACAGGGTTGTCTAATTATCATGGATGATCGAGTGAGATGATCTCGAAAAATTCGAAAATTTTTGAAATTTTCACAAAGCGATGATAATAACAATCCAATTTGATTACATTAATACGATAATTTAATTTTTTTGTAAGCTTTTAAAAATTAAAATCTCTTAAAAAAAAAAAGAAACATCCAACTCAATTCGATTCGATAGTATAACCAAGATGCAATGTGCAAAGGAAACTGTACTGTTTTACAGAAGACTGAAGGCTGATCTGCAATATCTGCGGAGGAGGGGACTTCTGAAGGCGTCGGGTGAACTATCGTACCAAGGACGTAAATGCACCAGATGCGGTGCACCGTTTGGTAGATTTTACAACACCGGTGCACCGTGTACGCGGTGCAGGCACAGAGTTTGTAGGCAGTGCCGTATCGAGGTCAGGAGCCCCACCGATAACAAAGAAGTCGAATGGATCTGTAACGTTTGCTACAAGATCGCGTGAGTTAATCCTTTGTTGTTACATACGTCTTCTCTCCTATTTTTTTTTTTTTTTTTTTTGCGCAAACAACAAATTTCTGATCTTCTGAAATTTCTACATTTTGAGAGGTTATTTTTTTGTCCCTTGCTAATATTGATCCTCGTCGTTGTTCGTAATTTTGAGCGATCTTTTTCTGAATCTTGTTTAAATTAAATTTGTTATTATAATTTTTTTTCATTTATTTTAGAGAATTGCACGTTGTCACCGAGAAATGGACCTTCGAAAATTCGGTATGTAAAGGATCTATAAATGGAAAAGCAGCGTCGCCCGTAGAATTATTGAAGCATAGCATCAGACGAGCTTGGACTATTAATGGTTTGTTATCGTTCTGTTCAATTATACATTACGTATACGTTATAATTGGGAATTTTTTAAAAATTTTATAACTAAAAAACTCTAAACGCACAAATAGAAATATATATTATGAAATATTTAATTCAATTATCTCTGATTTATGATATCATCTTTTTGTCTTATCATTAAAAATGTATTGAACGTTTGTTTAAATATAATATCTATTCTCAGAAAACATTATAAAATAATAATTACAATAGTTATATAATGACAGAATTATATAATTATAGCACGTTTTCTTATTATGAATCTTTCGAGAAGAAGGATAATTAAATTTAATTAAAAAAGTAAAAATAAATTTCAACTCAACAAAAATTTCATTTTTACTTTGAGAAAGTAAAACGTTGAATAATCTGCATGCAATAATAATAATATTACATATACATGTACCAAAAAAAGACTTCCACTTCAACATCGAAAGAAACACGATAAATAATCGATCGCACTTTGCATGCGCGTACAGGTCCACCCACACGCTGGTCAGCGGCCAGGAAATCGGCCGAGTTTCGAGTGTATCGGAGCTTGCCGTCTCGTCATCAAGAATACCGAGAAATCATTACCAAGAGCGAAATCGTAAAATCGGCCGACATCGAAACATCGAATAATACGAAGGAACCAGTTATCGACGAGGCAACCTTACATACCGAGGACTGTAATGATTCTACGAAGGAGGATCCATGCAAAGATGCGATAACGAAGAGCGAATCGATCTCTGTTCACGAGAAATTCACGCCACGAGTCGAGACGAACGAACGAACGAACCCGAAACGAGGGGAGAAATCGTCCAATAAACAGGAAGAGGAAGTGCCATCGTTGGATGCCATAAAAACGAAGAGAAACGAGCGATCCTCGTTGGCCAATGGTAATAAAACGAAAATCGAAGAGCAGGAGCAGGAGGCCGGTAGCCAGGAGCAGTGCACGCCGAGGATTTCTTTGATAAAACCACCTAGGATATTGTCCAAGTTTATTTCACCGGAGATAAAATCGGGTACGATTAAGCATGGGGAGAGAAAATCGAATATACCGATATTTAAGAGAAGTTCCAAGGAGTTTGAGGATATTAGAAGCCCCCAAGAATCACCTAAACGTTCTCTCATACCTCAAAGGTAATATTTTCTAAGTTTAGAATTGAGGAATTTTTGTTTTAGTGAGAGATTACAGAATCATATTTGATTTATTTTTAATTTACTTAGAAAATAATTCTGTATTATGTGATAAAATAATTTATTAATAAGAATGCAAGAATCTAATAGAATTTAATATTTTTTATTCATAAATTTGAAAATCTAAGAATTGAATTAAAGATATATCTATTCAGTAATTACTAATTATTGTGTATAAATATATAATTTTTTAATTGTTTCTTAAGTTAAAATTTTAATTTTCTTGCTATCTTTCCTATTATTATTTTTGGAACTTTTATATCAGAATAAATAAATAAATGAGAAATCAATTTTGAAAATTCACGTTTAAAAGAAATAATGAAATATAACTGATACCATGAATTTTTAAAGCATCATTTTATTCAAATAATTACCACATATAAACAATGAATCAAAATAAAAAAATATAGAATATATACAAATTACTTATTCTACTGTATAAATCTTATTTGTTTAACTACATGTATAAATTATTAGCTACATATATATGAAATGTTTGATACAAAGTGTTATGAAAACTTTAAATTTTATTTCCATAATACTTATTAAATTTTAATAATCATGTCACTACAATAATGTAAAGAGACAAATTAAATTTGTACACAAAAGGATAATTTGAAGTGAAAAAAAACTTACATCTTCCATTTACTTGTTAACAAAAATTCTTCTATATCTAAAAAACGATATACTTTTCACTAATTATCACCAAAACTTTTTTCAGATATCGAGGAAGTACCGATGATCTGCGTCGCAGCCGCGAGGATATAAGTTTGCCTAGCTTGATCCCAAAACTGCTCTCTCCCCGTATCAAGGAGGACCGATTGAAGCGTCAGGACAGCAAAGACGATATCCGTTGCTCGTCCAAATCGATTAGAAAAGATACGAAAGAGGAAACTCGTGGATCTAGCGTCCAATCGATAGGGAAGGAGGACTCCAAGTACGTTATACGACTATTCCGGCGGGACAACAGCCGCGAGGACGTGGGTAGGGATAGTTTGAATTCAAATGCGAATAGCTTGGCCTTAGCTGCAAAAGGAAAGCAAACTGGTAAAGAAGAGAAGCAGGAGAGGACGGAGGAACAACGCGTGGGCGTCTCGACCACGTCGAAATCGAAATCGACGGTGCACGAACAAGGAAAGACGAAGGCAAGAGAAGGTAGCAAGGAGAGCCTGGATGGGAAGAGGAATGACGAGGAAGGGCCATGTGCGAGCCAGCATGAGAGAGTGAAAGCGGAGGCCAAGGAACAGACGATGCTCGACGTGGTCGTCAACGACGAGAAGAAGCTGGTGGAAGAGCAAGAGGGCGTGAAGAAAGGAGATAAGGAGGAGATACGTGGATGTACGGAGGCGAGGAGAGAAGGAGAGTCGATGGTCGAGGAGGCAGAAGTATTCGAGAACGATAAGAATAAGGACTCTATGAAGGAGACTAGTGAGAGTTTGATAGAAAATTCTGAACCTGATTGCAATGCGTTTGGGACGTTTGAGAGAAAGGATATTGGAATACATGGAAGGAGATCCGACGATTTTCAAGTGGTAAGTTGAGGTTTTACTAAGGACAGATTTAGTAATTTGATGGAATTTTACTATTGAAGTGCAGTTAACAAATTGTAAGAATGATGATTTGAATTTTGATTAAGTTTCTAAAAAGAGTATAATTAATAAATTATATAGGTTTTAGTACAAATGTTGAATTTGTTCTTATTTTTACAATTGTTTTTGATCTAGGTACGGAGGAAATTTTCAAAAGAGGAGTTTTCTAATCCTGATGACACGGATGACACTCCCAATAAACGCTGTTCCAGTGTAAGTTTCCCAATTCTCACTGTTAGTCTCATTGAGCATTGATGTTGTAACATGATGTATTGTTGCTGATGAGTAATGCTTTCTATTATCTAAAGAAAAGAATAATGGGATAATAATATGCATTTATGAAATTATATGTTTCTATAATTAGTATACGACATATTTATTGTATTAAACGAAATAATTATGCCACTTATAATATTCACTCGTAAAAGAAGCTTTTACGATTTTTAAAATAAAATTACATATATAATTTAATCAATTATTAAAATTAGATTTTAATTTTGTCAAATATTTAAATGATAAATATAAAATAAATATAAAATATCTGATTGATCTAATAATTAGTTTTACATATTAATCTATTAATTTTATTTACTGAAAAAAGATTTATTTTTTATAACACTAAACTTTTATCAACATTTTTCATATAAATAAAAATATTTTAAAAAATTTAATTTAAATCAAGCAATATTTATAAATATATTTAGATGAATAATTTTCCTAAAATAAAAAAGATAGATAATAAAATAATTTTCAAAAATTAATAAATAACTCTATATATATTTTTCTTCTAATTTGAAATAATTTTTCAACTCATGTTTATACTATTTCATGGAAATGTGCAACGTGTTAATTTTCAGTTCAAGTAAAACCGGTTCTACTCAAAAAATAGATATATTTGCTATTTACATATCAGCCTTCTGATACCAATTTACGTCTAATTATACAATGTAGCTGAAACATATAGTTATTTAATAATAATTTAAATCATTGATATAAAACTATTTAACGACGCAGAGAAAGTTATTTAAATAAAAAACATTTCAATCTATTCAATTCAATTATTTTTTCAAATCTTTTTTCTAATCTTTCAAAAGATGATAAAATAAATATTAAATTTCTTTTCAGCATTTATCTCCGGAAGCGAGTCCACTGAGCACAAGATCCTCGAGATACAGCCCAAGGGAGAGCGAGAGCGAGCCAACCCCGGCACTTCCACGGAAAACAGGCGACTCGTGCTCGGCATCCCAAAGAATACGGGATGCGATCACGAGGACCAGAAGGGAATCGAATAGCAGTACTAGATACGAGAGTAGCGGTAGCGAGAGTGTGAGGTGTGTGCAATTTAAATCACGCGACGGTTAAATCGTGAAACTTAGCTCACCATCGTCAGAACACGTGCCTCGAATGATCAATTCGAATAATCGATCATTAGGAAGTAATAGCGGAAGTTTCAGCCGCCTGTGCGTGCGTTAGAAATCGAATCTGTGAGAAGAATTTCTGTAACGAAATGTAGTTATTAAGAATTTTGGAAATTTTAAACTAAAAGTTTGGAAGTTTTAAAAAATATTCTTAGATTGTAAGTGTTAAAAAAAAAGTAAGAATAAGATTAATAGAAGTCTATTTTGTAATCTATTTTGAAAGAAAGTTTTTATATTTAATATTTACCATTTAATATTTATGATATCACTTGAAGAGAAAATGTAATTATAATTTTAAAATTTCATTATAGGAAGAAATATATTTTTTGTACTTTCATCCTCAATAAAATATATACTGTATGCTAACTATAGAATGAATAACATTTAAGATAATTTTAATTTTTAAAATATTATTTAGTAATGAAAAGCACAAATGCTTTTTTTCTCTGATAAATGAGACAAATAGATATAAAAAATAATTACTCATATTTATCTAAAGGATATTATGAATTTTCATTACTTCTATTATTTCTTTTTTCAACTTTTTATTTATATATATTTATTATTGTTATTGTTATTTTTGATTATTATTGTTAATCTTTTTATTATTTATTATAAGTTTATTTTTTATTCATTTATTTATTTTTTTACTTTTTTCGATTAGATTAAGTGAGACTGGTCTTCATGGATACGTAGAACTGGCTAGGAAAGTGAAATTTTTCGGTGGTAACGGAAGTGGCACGGTTCCATTAACGATCGGAAGTGATGAAGTAGTGCAACGCGATAGCGCAACAAGTGCAGGTGAAGATGATCCTCACGATGATAATCATGGAAGAACAGGTCCTGTTTCTTCTCAAGGAAGAAGCATGCTTCGTAGAAGAAGACAATTTGACGCCCAAGGTATGTAAATATAAACTTTCAATCATTCCTATTTATTTAATTATTTCAATTTAATTTTAAAAAATAATAAAGTTTAAATTAATTGTTTCAACAATAATTTACATTATAAATCATTTACTATATCAAAGATTGATAATTAATCTATAGAATTTTATACGTACACATTATTTCATAATAATTATTTCTAGAAAAACAATGTAGAAATTCATAGCATTTTCACAAACATCAACAAGAAATTCCACTATATAGATCGTTAAATTTTCTGCACTATATCTAATTACTTGAAATAAAATTATTCCAATTACACTTGTTTCCAAATTAAAGCAAAAAATTATCATTTTCACCAGTCCTCATTACCTCCATAACATTGCATAAAAGCAATCTTACTGCTTATCCATTTAAATGCATCCCAGGATGCACATCAAGCTTGTTAACAAAGAAACAAACGAAAGTAACGATGAAATCTTGGCGAAGCAAACGATCCATGAAACAATTCAATCCCCATAATCGAGTATCCGTTTCTAAGAACAACACTGTGCGTTTTCTCGCAATTGCCATCGGCGTTTGACGAACAATCGCAGGTATATAAATCAAAAATCGGATACGGCATGTCATCCGCCAAATTTTCATCGATTTCATGAATCATAAGGTACGATTTGCCACGGTGTGTATATTAATCAGTGGAACGAAGCGTAGAGATATAAGGTGTAACTGAACACTGGATCGGGAAGCTCGTTCGCATTTGTATTTTAAGGCTGGTTAGAAGGCACAGCCATAACTAATAGAGTTACTAATTATCGTAGGAGCGAGTAACATTTCGCTTTCGCGACCGCCTTCATACATTTATGCGTTTTGTGTGTACATTTGCGTGTAATATGCGCTATATTCTTCTGCTCCTGAGTATAGATATATTCTTGTTCGCTGAAACGATATTGTTTGATATGTTTATTAATAATTTATTGGTAATCTGTTTAAAATTATAAATAATTATTTAATGTTACTTATCTTGAAGTAATATCATTTACTCTTCTATAATACTATATTATTTTTAAAATTACACATCACACATATCTAATTTTCAACTCTTATTTGATTTCTCCTCTAAAATTTAATGTAATATATGTATCTGATTATTGTATCCGTTCCTTTATAATCATAGAGTTTGTTTATAGTAAATAATTTATATTTTTCGCTACAATACAATACTTGAGTATTGAGTAAAATTTGTTTCAAGACAATATCATTTTTCCTAAACAAAAACAGTTGAATTAGAAATAAAAATAATCACTTTGAAACAATTATTTCAAATAATTTTTAAGAATATAATACATGGAATATAATTTCTAATATATATAATTCAATGTAAATTCATTTTAAAATATTTTAAATTATTTTCAATACTTATTTGAAATATCATCGAATTTAACACAGTACAGTATCTCTCGTAATTAAAATTACATTATCTGGTATGCCTGCCAGAAACAGCTTCCAGCTTGCGTATGTAACACATGCTTGGATAAGTCCATCGATTATCGAAACCATTGGCATACTAGCCCCGTATGAAACCAGCCCATGCCTCTCGTGAAACCTGCGAACTCCAGAATAGTATTATCAACGTTGCGAGCGCGATATTGTTTCCGTATCAAACTTCAAACACGAAATCGTGTTTGATAAGAAAAATATTGCATATACAGTCCCGTATCAGTGAACGTGTGAAAAATACGTAATAAGTGGGCATAAAAACACGCGATCAGGGATGATAGATATTAATAGATTGATAAGTGATTTGATAAATATTGATAAATATTTTTATCGATGATAATATTGAGAATTTTAATTAAAATATTGAGAATTAAATAAAATAAATAATAGACGTTCACTGAAATTAAAAAAAAATTATTTTTAATATTTTAAAAAATTTTTTAACAATTAATAAATTGCTAAACGATTAATAAAATATTTTAAATCGATAGATAAAAAGTGAAGTTAAAATTATCAAAAAGTCTGAATAATTTAGAAAAAAATTTAATTTGGTATAAAATTAATAATTGAGATTAAAAAAAAAACCTTTTTCCTTTTCTTTAGTCTCGATCGATCGGTAAAAATTTATACAATTTCGATCGATTTGGTAAAAAATTCGATACAGCAGGCTCGAGGATAAAATCCACGTATACCGTTGTTCTCGGTGCATTTCGCATGATACAAGCCACGAGCAGGGGATCCGAGTTGAATGCAAATCGCATGTTTCACGGCGTGAGATATCCATCCAATCTGGAGGGACCCGAGCATCCTGCAAACATGGACGTGAGAAGAATATGCCAACTATTAATCACCGGCTTCGTGTCCATGTATTTTTTGCTTTTTTACGCCGGGATTATCGTTTTTCTCTACATTCTTTGGATAGGATAGATACGTTCAAAATAAAGGGATTTTTTTCAAAGAAATTTTATTTAATTTAAATGAACGGTTTTTGTTGAAGAAAATAAAAAAAAAATCGATTTTAAAACAATGAAAATCTTTGGTGTGTAGTTTTTAGATTTTTGTGTGTAGTTTCGTTTTGAAAATGTAGATTAACAGTTAGCGAGAAGTTGTGTGAATTCGAAGTGGATATTACATTTTAAATTTATTTATTATTGTTGTGATTATTATTATTATCGATAATCATTTGTTTTTCTCTTTTTTTTTTAATCGTTTATATGTGAATGAATTGCGAAGAGAGAATAACTTACTATCTTTCGATCAAAGAGAGCTCGTATAATTAAAAAAAAATTATAATTCCATAACAACATCGTTGGATGAAACTTGTTCAGAAAATCTTTGCTGAAAACGTGAGAACAACACGCCCACTTATAATCCGCTTCTAATTAATTAGCTACTCTCCTGAATAATGCTTATATCAGTACAAGAAATAGGAGGAAATTTAGGCGTCTCAATTGTTTCCTATGTTACGGTATTCGCAAATTTTTCCTTTGTAATTCTAATAATATGACTAAAATAAAATTTTACAGTTACGCAGAGAAATTAATAATTATTTTAATCCAATTTTATAATTTGAAGATTAAATATATGATATAAATATTTGGTTCTTTTTTATTTTTTTAATTCTTAAAAAAATAATTAATTACCTAGTATCTAAATTACTTAATTTGATATACAAAAAAGAAAGTTTGAAGTATTAATATATATTAATAATCTGATTAAAAAATTTACATATTAAAGTTTATGAATAAAAACAAAAATATCATAACATAAGATTTTTAAATAATAATATATACATGTTGCTAATATTTATAAAATATTTTTGAAGAGTCGATTCTATAAGTCAAACACAAAAGTTGATATAAAAATATTGTTTGAAGATTGAATCTTATTTATTAACTTATAATTAATTGAAGTTTAAGTTAGAATAAGATAAATCTATCTTTATCATGCTAACTTCTTGCTCTATCTCCATCTCACTTCATTCAAATTAAACTTCAATTATTTATAACTTAATAAATAAATAATAATCAATATTTTTGTATATCAATTTTTGTATTTGTTTTGACGTTTAGAATCGATCCTATAAAGGTTTTCTACGAATATACATACATATTAACACCCTGAGAGGCAAGGTTGAGCGCAGGAGAAGTAAGCAAGCAGGTGAGACGAAGCGAAGCGGTGCTCAGGAAAACAGCATAGAAATAATAGTATAACAACTTCTCTGTTTCGCTCCATAGTCCGCTCACCTGCGACGTTTATACAAGGTGTCGCAAATTCTGCATAATCGCTGTCATTTCAATAGTGAGCTTCACATTAATCTATAGTAATCCAAATATTTAAAATTCTAAAAAAAATTAAAAAAGATTAGTACTCTATATTTTCTACAACCATTTTTGATTATATAGAAAAATCACATTCACTTGAAACAATTTTTTCTTCTTTTACTTACCATAGATATTTGTTTATATTATTCAACTGTAAATAAAATAATTTTTTATTCTTTTTATATTTTTATTTTCACAAAAGATTAGTTGTTTATATTGCTCAATCATATTTACACATATTTTACTAAAAATTAAATTTGAATGAAATTATTATCTTTTCTTTTATTTATAAATCAAAAAAATCTTTTTATATTATAACATTTAATTCAAAAAGAACTAATCCTACTAAAATAAAAAATTCTATTTATTTACCATATTATTATATTAAACAACTTATTTATTTAAACATTAAAAAGTTTAATCTTCTATATAACATTTAATCCAAAAATGAATTAATCCCATTAAAATGATTCATATTTCTTGTTTTATAATTAAAAACATATATATTCTTGTCTGAAAAATTAATATTATATTTTAAAATAAAAAATAATTGCATTTATTTTTAATTAATATTATGGTACACAGTGTACTTACTGCTGTAATCCTATATATTTGTTATAATCTAATTCCAATCCCATTAAAAACACAATTCAATCAAAACAATTGTCTCCATCCTCTATTATCTATTAGTCAAGCTAGGCATGATTAAATTCTCATTAATCCTCACCGACAACTATATTATTGTTATCGTCTTTTTTCACGGACATCACAATCTATTTTTTCATTATATTTTTTGCATCACCCAGTATACGCGTCACAATATACACAACGACGCCACTATAGGAGGTTGTTCCGCGCTGTAGTAAGGTAGTGACCGATGCTGTTGGGATTCAGGTGTGCCTCAGACGCTCTTAGTTCTCTGGCGGTAGCCCACGCGAATCGCCACTGCTCTTTCTTTGACAGTGTGTCGTTTACCTCGAGACGATGACGAAAGATCCTGAGTACGCACCGGTCTCCGTTGCAATACACTGGATAAAGCCCTTGCCAAGTTTTCCATCAATTTGATCAAGGTTCGTGAACTTGGTTGCAAGTATGACCCAGCAGGTGTTTTTGAAGTTGGAATAGTGAGTTATAAATGTTGAGGATGGGAATTGAGGAATTGTAAACAGTGACAGTTGCTGGCGAACACTTGGTAGGAGCATTAGTGGGAGTATTGGTGCTTTATAGGGTGACTCATAATATATTTGAATATATTATTGCAAGTGTAAGTAGATAGAAAATTATATATATTTTCAAAATAGAATACTCTAATATTAGAATTGTTAAATCAAATTAAATTGACTAGATTTGTTGCTTTGTAATTGCTTTTAACAAAATTAATATTAGTTTCTATTTAGTTAGGAATATATAATTATATATAATATATAAGATATAATATATATAATTATATATATTATATATATTATATTATATTATACATATATAAAATAATATAAGATATATAATATATAAAAATTAGTGTAAAGACATATAATAGTTTATTTCATTTATTTTAACATTAAAATAGTTCAATTAAGTCAAATTGATTGATTTTAAAATGATTTCTTTTATTCATTATATATTATTTTATCATATATTTAAAACTAATTATTAAAATTACACAAATGCTCTTGGCAAAATTAGTATTAATTTTTATTTAGATAGAAGAATAATTATATGAATCTAATTATTTTTTATAATGGTATTTTGATTTTAATTATCTCTATACAATACATATATTCAGATATGTATTATAATTAATAGTTTTAATATTAAAAAGTTAGCAAAAATATGAATTAAAATATATGAAAAAAATCACTTGCAATTTGACTTGTTAACTTGATAAGATAAGGAAAATATAATTATATAATAATTATATAATAAATGTATTATATAATTAAATAATAGATATATTGAAAAGAATATGAAATTTAAAATCTTTATTAAATACTGAATTTTTTGTATTGAAAATGAAAAATATTCTGTCTTTTTGAATATTTTATGTATAAATAAAATTTGAAATAGAATTGGAAATAATGTGTAGAGAATAGATAATGTGCATAGAATATTCATTATTAGAAAATCTTTATTTATGCAAAAATTTAAATGCATGAAATATTCAAAATATAGTATGCATTATGTTATTTGAAAAATAAGATAAATTTCTATTTAATTTCATTGGTTGTCTTCAACAAAATTGTGTTTTGCATAAACATTCACAATTTATTATTCTTTTGTACAATTAATCATATTTTGAATAATTCAGAGATTTTATAATATATATATATATATATATATATATANATTAATAAATTGTGAATATTTATATATTTATAAAAACTTAAATATATAAAAAAAATATGAGTTATTCTACTTATTATAAATATAATTTCTTAAAATTTTTTGGATACCATGTAAAGTTCATACACTGAGTCATTATATACGATAAATATAGTTTCTTGAAATTTTTTGGACACCGTATAGGGTTCATACAGAATTGAATTCGATACTCTCGTGACTTTTACAGTGTCATGTTTCTCTAAAGCTTCTTTTGTTCGGCACTATATGTCTAGTTTCCGTTTTGTGAGGTTAGAAATTGATGTTTAGGAATTTTTAAATGAATCACAAATTTTAATTTGCAAATAAATTATAACTTGCATTTTTGCATTATTCCAAATATAATATTATAATTTATTTAATAATAATAAAACTTATTTCATAAAATGAATATATTAAATTCGAATACGAGAATTTAATACAGATCAAATTTAATCTATTATTCGATTATTAAAAAATAGTGTTAAAAAAAAGTTAAAAAAAAGATTGGTCATTTTTGAATGAAAATAATTTGATCTATTGATTGTTGTTTAAATTTTTTTTATAAATTAAAATAAAATAATGAAGTACTATTTTATAGTACTTCTATTAAATAACTAAATAATTTTCAATATATTTTCATTCAATTTACTTTTGCTATTTACTTATTTACAATTTATTTACACTTTGTTACTTACAATTTATATTTATTTACTTACAATATTGAATTTTAAACGAAGAAAACGTCGGAATAGGTGACAGTGAACGAGAAACTCATTGGTGGAAATGTAAATGGCCGTTTAAGGTGTTCTCCGCGAATCGCGCGCTAAATTTAGCACTCTGCCTCTGCTAAATCGTCCAAGCGTTTATAACGATTCAAAATTTCTTTCATTTTGAATTTTGAAAACGATAAATAAACACGATAGGAAACGACGAAGTAAATGCAATTAGAGTCTATTTGGACGAGATTAATTTATTCTCATACAGATAGCAATAATATGTTGAAAACAGCCTACTTTTGGCGAATAAAGAATGGCGTATGTGTTTATATGTTACAATTAATTCCCTCTATCTCCGCATTCCATCTTTTTCCGCTCCGAATTTTGCTAGGTCGGTAAAACTGCAAATTAAGACCAGATCATGATCAGATTCTCGACTATTCTCTTTTGATTGTTTCTACGATTCCATTTTCATCGTTTGTTCAATTTTATGCACTATTATTCTCAAAATTTTACTCTGATGATTACAATTTGAATAAAGATTTAGTGATTTTAGTGGATTTTGGTTTAAGAAATTCAAAAGTCGATTCATTCAATGAATCTTGATGGAATTATGGATTGTTCTATTCTTTTATTAAAATTTAAGGAAATAGAGTGGTTTCTTTTATTATTATTATGACAATTTTTTCAATTTTTATTTATTATGACAATTATTTCATTTATTTAATTAAAAATTATACTAAATAAATAGTAATCCTAAAAAACAATATTATTACATTACATTAATCGGAAGTAATTTATTATGATTATAATTAGAATGAAAAAATTTATAATGAAAGATACTTGAAAAATTTCTATAGTAAATTATCCCTCTCTTTTAATCCCTCTTTATTGCACCATATACACAATAGTGCAGCCATTTATTGTGAGTCATTTTATCGTGCCTGGGTACTTTAATCGTTAACGAGCAAAATTCGCCAGTGGTTCATTAGCGGTCAAGAATAAACACGTTCATTATCTTTATGGAATATTTGCTTAAGATCGTAATTTGTCGATGCACCTTGCGATAAAACCAATGAACTTTCAATGAATTCATTATTTCCACTGATTTTGAACGATCAATACTCCAGCTAGCTATTAACAAATAAAAAAAGAATTACTATACGTTATATCTATTTCATATTTATATCATAAATATTTTTTTGCTTTATAATATTAATAATTAAAACAAATTTGATAATAAAAATATTTTAAATTTAATAGATTTAATATTGTGAAATTTACAAAATTTCCTTTAACTTTAAAATATTAAAGCATTTCCTTTTTGTGAAAAATCAAATTTCTACAAATTTTAGTTACAAAAAATTACATCCATGAAATAATAATAAACATGCACGATTCTTATTACGATCGAAGCAAGATATCTCAATCTATCGTACTGCTATATCATACGATACATTGAAAAAAAAACAGCCAGTTTATCAAGAATTTTCCCTCAACTTTTCAAAAAAGTCTTTTCCATCGATCCACAAATCGTATCACTCTGATAACATCGAAATCAATAGCGATAATTGTCGCTAATAACAGTCGATAAAGTTCCCTTATCTGTTCATTTTTCCTCCCGATTTTATCACTGTCTTCTAATCACGCGCGAAACATCGCGTTTTGGAAAAAAGGTTCCAGACGAAGAGGCCGATCACACGCGAGGACCTGTTGTGCCGAGGAATTGCAAGGTTTCCAAACGTTGCACGTGATTGGCCGGGACGGAAGGCAGCACAGTCCTACCGGAAGTCAACAGGAGCAGCCGCTGGTCGACTACAGGCGGCTGGTGTTCATCAGCTCGGATTCGTCCTCGGGAAGGGAAGAAGACGACGCTGACAGCAGTTGCTCGAGTTCCTCGTTTTTGAACGGTTTGCCGCGCGCAGGCAGCCGTACGCAGTCGTTGGAGGATTGCGACTGGGATTATTTCGAGAGTGGGTCTCTGCCGCTGCCTGCCGGAGTTCCGGTTGCCATAAGCACGAACAACGTTGGCACGGAGACGACGAGCGCGGCTCAGGATTGGAGCTGTTGTCCTGGACGCGGGTCCACTGCCTGTCAGGTGGGTTGAATTTGTGACTGTTGATTGAAAATTACGTTATTAAAGATTCTGTCCGCGGATTCAATTGATTCAATGCATTTTTTAGGAAGCTTGGATGTTGGATGAAAGAATCTATTATCAATTTCGTCGTTGCAAGGTGATTAAATTTACATGGAAGATTTTTTTTTTTTTAAGAAATTTGAAAAATATTTTGTTAAAGATATTAGAGTGTTTGGCTAAAAGTGTAAAAATTATAGTATTCAAAATTGTTTATTTTAGTTTGAGAAATCATCTTGTAAATTTTTGAGACATTTTTTTAATTTTGTTTGTCAAAAGAGTTGAGTTTAAGAGATTAATTGTTAATTAAAAATTATAATTTAAAGATTCAGCTGATAATGAATTTTTTAGGTAGCTTGGATAGTGGATGACGATATTTATTATCTCTATCATCGTTTTAAGGTGAACAAAATTGCATGAGAGATTTTTAGATTGAATTTTTTTTTTAGAGAGTCTTGGAAAATTGGAATGTGAGGATATCAGAATGTTTGACTATAGATGTCCAAAAATTTTTTTTTTGTTTTAAATTACTTGAATTTTTAAATATTTAAATTGTCTTGGATGTGATTTCATGTCTTAACAAATAAGTTGAATCATTAATATTATTATCTAATCAAAATTGGATGGAAGAAATTTAATTTAAATATAATTTAAATAGCAAATGAAACTACTTTGGAAAAAAAATAAATAGAAAGACAGTGTGATAATATTGTGATAAATAAATGTTTATACTACTACAGATGTCTAAAATTTAGGAAAGATTGAAATATGGAAGTTTTTAAAAATTATTAAAAATCATTTCTTAAATTTTATATGAAATAATTTTATAAATTTCTCTTGCATTTTCTTGTCTATCTCTTATCAATATTACGCTGTAATCTGTATCTATATGTTACACAATTTTTATCGTCATTGTAAAAATTCAATATTTTTTTTGCAAATGATCATCAAATACAATTACACATTATATTATAATTTATAAAAATAAAATTAAATTGAATTAATTGTTAATAAAAAGACAACAATATTAAGATACTCTTGCTTTAAATGCGGAAAATTTCATATTTCCGCATTTAAACATTTATTACATTTATCTTATTTAAATAAATAAAAAATCAAGAAATTTCACAAAAATCTTCCATAATAATTTAAGATGATGTAATTCAATATCTATTCTATATTTAAATATTTACTTTACTATTAATTGAAACTGTTTGTTAATAAAAAGACAATAATATTAAAATACTCTTGCTAATTTTATAAATATTTCCATATTTAAACATTTATCACATTTATCTTATATTCACAAATAAAAAATCAAGAAACTTCACAAAAATCTTCCATAATAATTTAAGATGATGTAATTCAACTGTATTTAAATACTTATTTTACTATTAATTGAAACTGTTTGTTCAATTAATTCAAAAACCTAATAATACCAATTCTAACTTTTCATCATTCCCCTTTCCAGGCCTGTGGAGGTTCTCGAGGAGCAAACGTATTACCAGTACCAGTACCAATTCCAGTTCCAGTCCCATATCCGGTCCCAGTCCCGGCATCCCTGTGGACCAGCGACTTTGCAGCAGCCGCATCCTCCATGATAAGTCGCAGCGGCGATGCCCACTCAGAGCCAGGAACACTGAGGTTGAGAGGCGACCCAGCTGCACCCTGGTTCGCCTGGCACCCACGATTCAACCAACCCTTGCACGGTTCCAGACTCGATCCAAGGTTGACCAACGTGTTCGACCCCGCTACACTAGGTTCCTTCACGCCCGACCAAGTGTTGTACTCGACCATCGAACCATCCTCCATACCGACCACCGAAGAGCTTCGTCAACGAATGACCAACCTGCGCATCAATCGAGACGAGAGCGACGATGCTGCGAACACGAAATCCGTGGAAACGAGGCAAGAGGCCGCTTTGCTGGATGTTTCGAGCGAGTTGAAAGTTGTTGACCAATTATCCACCGATGTACAGATAAATAAGGATAAATTGGACGAGTCGAAGAAGGGAGGAAGCGATGACGAGACGAAAGAAGCGAAAGAGGATGAGGAAACGAGCTGTCAAGATTCTGTGAGCGTCTCTTTTGAGAACAGAAGGGGGCAAAGAATGTACGAGGACTCTGGCAGTTCTTCTGGCCGATCCTCGGCGGACAGTAGCGATTTGGAGGACGATTCCTCGTCCCACAGGTTCTCCAGGGTGTTCGTTGTGAACGACGATTCACTCACGAGCGACAATGACATTGAAGATAATGGAGACGAGGACGAAGACTCTGATTCCGCTGCCGAGGACGGTATCACTTTGAAGAGAGTCACGGCTCTTCCCGACGAAGAACCTGTGGTCCTCCAGTACGTTAGATTCTTCAACGAGGACACGAATTTTGAGAATGCGAATGGGGAAGATTCGGAGAAGGATAGAACGAGATCCAACCGCAAGGATGACAGCTTGGAGATGAAAGATACGTCTGAACGAGATGGGAATGTTAATGAGAAACGTAGATCTCGAGGTAGAAGGCATAATTTAGAAATAAGCGATAAGAGGATTTCTTTGTCGTTGCAGCAACGAGAGATGCCCGAGGAAATGTACATAGCGAGTGACAACGATTGTTCAGAGAGTCAGATCGAGTTAAAATCTATAAAAAGTTTGGATCCTGACAGCATAGAACCTGTTATATTCGATAATTCTACCGAGAGCGTTGTAGAAAGGGCAGAGACAGTTATGGAAGAAAATAACCTAAAAATCGTCGAGGTTCCCTTACAAGATGAAACAGAATCTAATAATGAAAATAATTTGGATAATCAAACGCAATTGTCATCCACCGATACCTGGGACTCTAACATAATTCCAGACTCGTTGGAGGTCTCCGCACAGGAAATCGTGAACGACAACGAGGAGAGTCCGAAGTTTCACGCCTCAAGAATCGAAAATCACATTAATTCCGAAGATAATAACAATCATTTTGAAACAATAATCGGTAATTCTAAAATAATCAATGATAATCATTCGTGCGCACCAACTGATTCAAATTTAAATATAACGGAAAATTCTTTAGGATGCGAGAGTTTCACCAGCAACGAAACGAACACGACAGGCAGCGAGATAAGCAGCGACGAGCTTCACGAGTACGAGGTTACATCGTCAAACGCCATCTTTTTCGAAAACAACGATTTACTGTCACGATTGAACAAAAGTAACGAAGAAAGGACATCGTGGCTGAATCAACAACAAAGCAACAACAAGAATGCCAATTACGAGGAATCCGGCATCGCGGCATCGAACAGCGCGAGATGGAGGGAGCAATTATTATCGCAAGTCGAGGGAACAATCGTTGAGCAACCTTTGGAGGTTATCGATACCGTGACCGAGATCGATTCATTACCAATCGCCACGGAGGATGATCGATCGAGCCGAACTGCATCCAAAGATGGCGCGACAGGAGACGACGACACAGAGTCAAAATCAGACTCGAACGTGGGCAAGATCGAAACAACGGTGGACAAGATACAAGAAACGTTGAGCGCAGGTAAAGCGGATAATGCGCATGACAGCACGGTGAGAGGCGAGTGTTCTGCCTCTGGTCAGGTAGTAGGAGAAGTGGGAGGTGGAGGTGGTGAAGGTGGTGGTAGTGGTGGTGGTAGTAGCGGCGTGGAAGAGGGGATAGAAGGGGTTTCGACACGGTTTCTCTCAGTCGAGCGACGCCCGTCCATTGGAAAGGAGAATGGATTCCCCGCTGCTGCGTCGACCAAGGATTCTAACATCAGAGACAACAGTTTTGTTCACCAATACTCGCCAACGACGGCCAACAACAGCAACAAGTACAGAAGCCTCGTGATGATCACCCAGGAAGCATCGTACCAGCCGGTGAGCGTGATCACCTCGGATACGACAACCTTGTTGCAGCCGGATGAAGTGCACCAGGCTAGCCAGGGCCTGGCTGGCTATTTCCAGCTGGCATTGGAGGCCGTCTCGGAGCAACCGCATCGCAAGAATGGCCAGGGACCGAGGAAACCGTTGATGGTGAAGCGTTTGGCCAGTGTGACTGCGAATCATTCGGAAACGGAGGTAGACAGCGGGCTGAGTGTTGGTAGTGCTAGTGAAAGCGACGATGTTTCGGTGAAAAATTCGGCGAAAATTGGTAACAAAGTGGAGAGCAACGAGGAAAACGTTGGCAAAGAGCGTTTGGTTGGTAATGAGCATCGTGAAGGCACAAGGACACGTGTCTCGTCGCAGTCCAGCGATGAAAATTCTGCTGGCGGTGGGGTGGTGATCTTGGAGGAAGGCCTGGCTGACGATGATTCATGGGTGGAAGAGGTTTCTCACGACGAGGATGAGCCTGGAGCTACGACGGCCACCGAGGAAAGCTCTGAGGATGAAGCCAATAATCTTGGGGATAGGGAAGAGGAACTTCGTGGCTATCATAGGCAGGCTATCGACTTCACTTTGCACACCATCGTGGAGGAATCTTGCGAGGAGAGCGAAGCTGAGCCCAGTTTGGCCGCTGGCAGTCCATCCAAGAAGCAGAGACCTCCGTCGGCCTCTGAACTGGAGAAGTACTTCTTCTTTGGCCTTGGTGGTGATGGAAATAATTCAAGCATGGGTTCACGCGAGGTGGACAGTCTTTCAGAGACTTCGTCCATTTATTCGGAGGGTTTGGAGTCACTTGGACAGGACGAGGCTCCAGGAAATGGACAGAGTCAGGAGAGGTCGAATTCTGGAGAGGGATTTTTGAATTCATCCAGATTGGAAAAATACTTTTTGTCGGAATTTCTAGGGTTCGATCAAGACAGGAGAGATTCGGATGGTTCCGTAGGAAGTGATTCTGAAGGAAGACCCAGTCCAGAGGCACAGAGAAGGAAGAAGCTGGTTCGCGCGAGAGGTACCGGTAGATCGCACAGTTCTTCCTTGGATAATTTACTCGCTCTTACTCAAAGTTCGCAGAACTTGAGCTCGCAGAACTCTCTTCAGGATTTGAGCTTGAATCAGGATGCGCAAGAGACGCAATCAGAAGGCTCGTCCACGGAGACTGATGGAGCAGATGATGGACAAACCGCGGCCTTTGGAACGGATGGACAATTTGACACTGTGAAACGGAAGAAGAAGAAGCCTAGAAATCTAGGCACGCAGAGTCCACGTGTTCCTGACGATAGGAATAAAACTCCTGAGCCTAACAGAGAAATGGTGTTGGTTGGAGAAGTAGTGATGGAAAATGACGCAGAAGCTATTAATTCTGAGGACTCTGAACGAGCAAAAACACCTCAACCAGAATGTATTTTGTCTTCTTCTTCCTCTCCATCCGGTACCGTCAATGCTTCTTTAACTTCAACGTCGCTTGTCGATTCTTCCAGGAATGTACAAATGAGTTCAGGAGAATCTTTGAACTACAATCAAAGGTCGAAACAGCAGTCAAGAGATTCTGGATTTGTAGGTAGTTGTGACGATCTTCTGCAACATCAGAAATTACCAGAGGATGGCCAACCTGGTTCCGAAATCAGCCAAGAGAGTGGAAAAGATCGTTCCAATAACGAAACTGGTGAGAATGTTCAAGATGCGAATCAAATTTCCAATGAAGGTACCTCTGGAATCGAGAAAGGAAACGTGGTTAAGGTAGATCATCATTTGAGTCACACTGCGCTGCCTCACTTGCCAAACGCTTCTCTCTCGAGGAAGGATAGCTTCAACAATTGGTCCAGTGACGAGGAAACGAACTTGATGATGTCCAAGATGAGACAATTCTTCAAAACCATGGTGGCCAATTCGAATGGGCAGAATCAGAACACAACTAATGCAAATTCAAGCGCAGCTTCACCTGCACCCAGCCCTAGATTAGCGGGCTATGCATCAAAAGCCAGATTGTGTTCACAAAACCGTACAAAGCCACCTCAACTGGTATATTTTGAAAATGAATTGACTAGATTAATGAAAACAGTACCAGGAATTCGAGACGAACAAGTAAGAGAAATAGTCGAATACCTTAGCTCTGAAGACACGTGGTCAGATTCATATGATAGTTCTGATTACACTAGTTCCGACTTGGAAGGAGCAGCAGGTGGTCGCAGATCAGCTTTACAGGAACAGATCTCGCAGAGTTGTCAACAAATTATCAGCAAATTTGACACGACGTCGGGTGACAATCTATTAGACAAAGAGAGAGAAGATAAAACTGTGCCAACTCCTGGAATTCAGCCACCCTGTTTAGGCAGAGATACTGCGTTTGTGTATCAGAAATTAGTTCAGAGTTTCACAAAGATGGCAGGTGATGGAGTTAGTTCTGATGCCAATTCGACACCGCATAGTAGTCCACCATTGATAGCTAAAGTGATGCATCATATAGGTAGTAGATTGGTTGCTTTAATGCATGAAGTCTCTGAAGGTGGGCCAAGTGTGCAGCATCACTCCACTAGTTGGAGACGTTATTCTCAACATCACAGAACACCTTCCTCAGCTTCTACCACTGAAGATGATGATTCCACTTCAGATTCTACTAATGCACCTTCGTCGACGCATTTGCAGTTACCCAGATCAAAATCTCATGATCCTTTACTGTTGATTAATAGTCATCCAGCAGCTTCCACTGGACAAGAGGGAGAGGAACGAGAAGCTAGTGATTATGAGAGGTTCTCTTGGAGAGGCAGCTTTGAATCAGCGCTAATGGCTGCTGATTCTAGGACGAAATTAAGCCTTTTGGCTTGTTCTGGAGATAGTGTCGGTGCTAGTGCTAGTGCTAATGCCTTAGCAATGGCAGCTAAGAGAAGAAGTGCTGGAGATTTGTTGTTCAATCCTAAAAGCTTTTCAAGAGAACAATTGGACAGAGTTAGGAGCTGTGGTTCCATTGGGGGTGGAAGTGGTGGTGCTGCCAGTGCTGGATCAGTGGAAGAAAGAATCTGGAGTAATAGAAGAAGATCATCTGTTCCTGATGCTAACACAAGAGGGGAATCTGGTAAGTTTACTTTATGTTTATTTTCTTTATTTGAATTTCTTTTATTGTAAATTTAAAATTTTTTAAAATTTTCATGAAAGAATGAAATAATTGAGCAAGATATTAAAATGTTTTTTGTTATGAAAGAATGAAATGATTTAAAACAAATTAAAATTTAATTGGAAAATTAGTTTAGAAATGTAAATATTTTTGAAGTACAAATACAAATTAAAAAACAAATTAAAAAATTAAAAATGGTTTGGTAAACAGAACTCTATTCAATGTGAAAAGTATATATCAACTTGAACTTTAGAATACATTTGTGATACTCTTATGATTCTTAACATTTCAAATGAAGACAAACAACATTACACAAGTGTGACATAATATAGTATACTTTTGATGATGAATAGAGGAGTATAATAAATTGTTTCATAATCGTAAATTGCATTTTTAAATTCTTATATAATACTTTAAAATAAACATAAAATTTCTATATATATATATATATAGATTTCTTTTGAAGAGTTAAGAAATATGCAATTATGCTAATGACATAATAGAAATAATTTCTTTTCTGATTCTATCTATTATTTTGAAGTAATCTATTCGAAGATTAAATCATTTTTAACCATATATATTATTAATTCTGTTTTATTTCCATTTTCAACATTTTCTTTTTGATTCTAGTTTTTTTGTTTACATTTTAACTTTTTAAATATCTTTTTTGTATATAATATCAGTCTATTATAAAAAATAAAATTGTAAATGTGATTTGAATTGTATATCGTAATGAATGATGTGGATGCAGCATGGATAAAGAATAATTGAACTGAGTGAATGTTTAGAGTATTGATTGCGAGTGAAAATAATTCTGAGAATATAAATGAGGATTGGAATGTATGATATCACATGAAGATTTATCTGCATAAAAAGAATATATCTTTAAGAACATAATGTGATTTATAAGAGTAAGAATTGTTTTTATTGTTAAATTTTTTTAATACTGAATAGTATTTGTAAATTGTTTAATATCTTAATTCTAAATATTTTAATTAGTTCCATGAAGGATTTAAATTCTCTTTTTTAAGATTAGAGTTTCGAGTACAGAATAGAATACTTAAATATAATAAATTTCAGAAAATTTATGATTGAATACCTTGAAATCATTAGATTCTATAGAATATATTTATACTTAGAATTCCAAATTTTATTGAAAACTCAAAAGAATATTTTTTGGATCATCAGAATCTAAAATTAAAATGTAAAATATTAGTCAAATTGTTAAATTTTATAAAATTTATGAATAAATTTTGGTCTACTAAAATTAAAATACAAAATAAAATATATCTAGAACTCAAAATTTAAGAAAATCTAAATCGATTGAATCCAGAGATCAAAATATAAAATCTCTGTTATTCTTTAATTATCTACCACCAAACAAATCAATCAAATAAAAATGCAAACCAATATATTAACAGATACGTCTACAGGTGACGAGGACACCGAAGACGAGCTCGAGTACAGTGGTGAATCTCGAGCAACGACTCTTCCACGCGGAATGCAATCTGCCATCACTGCTGCTACCAATTCTTTACCACGTTTACCAGCATCCACCGCACCTTCCGGTTTAACGACGACGTCAACCACGCCATCAACGACAATGCACAAAGCGCACAGTGTCTATCATTTTTTGCCTCAACATTCTGGTGTGAAATCAGCCAGATACCGTCCTCCAGGATTCGCGAGGAACAGCAATGTTCCTGGTGTATTGGGAGGACCAAAACGTGCGGTCAGTGCTCCGGGACTCCAGGTCTCGGGATCTCAGTCTTCCAATGGAAAACGGGACAATTCGAGGTCGAGAAGGCAGCAGACTATGTCTCTCACGCCTGGTAAGTCTTCTTCCAAGTTTTCTTTGTTGTATGTATATTTCTTTTAAATTATATGTGCATTAATATTCAAAATATATATTTGTATTTATTCTTTTATATATCTATTATTATATCTTTCTATGAGCATGATGATTAAAAGAATTATAAAAAACGTACAGATCATTAGAAAATTCCTTAATGAATATGCAATCATATATCTGAGTAATTAAGAAAATCTGCAAACAGGAAAAGTAATGTGAATCCGTGCTCTATAAAGTCGATGTTAATTTGTATTTAAACATACTCTGATGGAAAAACATGTTATATCTTACCGAGACGAGTTAATTAAGATTGATCTGCATTTAAAGTGAAAATCTATTTACGTAGTATTCATGGATGAAAGATAGGTTGATAAGCATGCTATAAATGAAGATATGATGGTTTGTGATTCAAAATTCTCCTAGATAATTAAATAAAATAATTAAATAAAATAATTAAAAAAAATTTTATAATGATATAAATTTATTCTTAAAATTTTTTTATTAAATTTCTTAAATTTGTTTTAAATTTAATAGAAATAAATATAAGTGAATGCATTTTGAAAAGATTATGATATAAAATAAAAGTTAATTTCATAAAAGTTTCATAAAAATCTTTACAAGTAAATTATGAAATAATTTTATTTTTACAATTTGCATCCAGAAAAGAATTACATTATATGATTCGTGTTGATACTCTTTCAGTTACTCAATCACTCGCGATTTCGCTGATTAATCAACAATCTCTCATTTTCGTTTCCACGTTTGATCAACACGATTAATTGCGAAACGTAAACTGAAATAAAGTTACGAAACTTCTCGATCCTGAAGAATTTTCTGCAACCACTATTTCTATATATATTCAAAACAAAATCATTATCAATTTTTATTGAATTAAAAATGAAATAATCATCGTAAAAATATTTTTATTATTATTGTTATAAATTAAGATCAATATAGGATCAATATAGATCAACATTAATATTTTTTTACTTAAAATAATAATATTCTTTTTTATTTTTTCGTGCACAATGAAAAAAATATACGATTTCATTGAAAGAAATAAAGTTAACCTCAAAATATATCAGAAATTTAAAACTACGCAACTTTTATATTTATCAATTTTTCATTAAACATTTCATAATTTAAAACTTATTTGAGATATGCAAATTGCATGAGTCACTTGCTATAAATAAAATAAAATAAACAAAAGTATTCATTTTAACTTATCAAAATGAATATTTAACACATTTTTTTCAATGTTTACTAAATTTTTATAGTTTGAAGTCAAATCCAACAATACAACACGTTAATATCACTAAACAAGACGACTAGAAAGTTGGAAAAAAATTAATCGTATCAATATTTAAAAGAAAAAGGCGACAGTCAGAGAGAAATCTGACAGTACGCATACGCGAGACACAACGTTATACCGATCGATTGTCGCACCATAGGTCGGAATGAGAGGAAGAAGAAAAGCGGAAAAAGAAGGGAAATCTCGAAACAGTTACACCTGTTACACTCCAGTAAATAGTTTAAAACGTCATCCATTTACAAATAGCGTTCTACTTATAGCCATGACTCTTGAAATCGAGTGTCATAGATCGAATTTTACGAAAGTTACTCTCGCGAGAAAAATAATCGATTTTCGATTTTTGATAGTATCAATGAATTTTTTTAGTAATTATATATGATCAATTTTTCTGATCATTTTGTTAATTTAATATTCTTTTTTATTTTATTTTATATTATTTGACGAATTTTAATTTTGATCAAATTAATCTCACACGAGAAAGAATCGATTTTTAATTTTCGATAGTATCTACGAATCTTTATAGCGATTGTTTGCAGTTGATTAACAAAATCGATTTTTATAGTCGATTTTTCCAAGTATTTATTGTTGATTTATAATACATTTTTCTGAAAATATTCTTTTTTATTTCATTTAATAAAGTATTGATTTATCAGTGATATTATTATTTCAATTTTAATATTTATGATATATAATTATATAATATATTATAAAGAAATTTTTAATTTTAAATACGTGATAAATAATATATTGTATACTTAACCTTTAAAGATTAATTTTATAACAATTGTAACCTTTAAGATTTAATTTTTTTATAACTAATTTTTATAATATTTAAAATTTTTATTATATTTAAACCTCATAACTCATAACTTTAACTTTTAAATGTTACTTAAAGTTATTCTAAATCATTAAAAAATTAATTAAATTTTTCGAAACTCGAATCAAAATTCTCCAAAAGAAACAGAACATATATAATAATAATTTAATATAGGTAACAATTTTAAATATATATATTTAAATTTTCCTCTTATCTTTTGTCACAAACTTTCCTAACCTAACCTAATAAAAGCAATGCTTCCAATTCCAGATCTACATCCATCAAACTATCACAACATTATGATAGACATTTCACTGCATATGCGCGTTTGCATTCCAATGAAACGATAAGTAAAAAAAATTTTATGATATATATAACATTTAGTATATATAACTCAGTTTAAGCTTGAATGGAAAGAAATAGCGTAGAACTGCAAACTCCATTTCCCTTGCTTTCAATTCGGCTCGAATCACGCGAATCAGTGATTCGTGGGCCCATTTCTATGGCAAACTCGTGAAATTTGCTCCAGATTCGTGTCACGTACCATAGAAATTGTTTCTATAGCCACGTTTGAAGTAACTAAGTGATCGCAGAATGATTTTGTCGTTAGAAATCCTTAAAAGTATAATGGATTAATTGATCGACTTCGAATTTTTGTAAGTTGATATTATAAAAGATATTTAATACACATTTATGAAACATTTTATAGAGAATTGATTTTAAAAAGCAAAACGATGGTAATAGAGACAGAACTATTGTATCTCCTTTATTCCTTTATTCTATCTCCTTTGTTTTATTATTTAATGCAAATTTCAATTGACTGAATTCAAATATCAAAAAGAAAATAATTCATTTCCAAAGGGAGTGTTAAATATCTTATCCTACTTCTAAGTAGAAAATATTAAAAAATTGTTTTTTATTTTTTAAAAATTCTTATAAAATCAATACTTTGGTATTATTTTTTCTACCATAAGAAGAACGATAAAATATTTTGATTAATTGATTGATATATATAAGATTTTAAATTCAATTATATGAAAAGGAATGAAAAGGAGAATTATGATTTGAATCAACTTTATTTTTGGACAGTCGTTCGTGCATTGAACGGATCGTTTCCTCTTTAAAACATGGCATCCCGAAAGGGTTGATTTTTATGAGGGATGAAAAGGAAGAAGAGAGATCCTTCACTCTACAGACCGATGATATTATTTTCACTGCCACTCCCCAGTTGCATTCGTGGCTCGTATGGATCAATAACCGAGAAGACCACTGTGATTCGAAACTCTTTAATTAATTACCGATTACAGAGAAAGATAAGAGAAATTAATTAAAGAGGGAAATTAATAGGAACAATAAATTAAAGAACTGTTTAATTAGAATGAAGGTAAATATTTTAAATTTTATCATCATAATAAGTGATATAGTTTTATGATAAGATGTATATAAGAAATATGTTTTAATGAAAAAAATTGAATTAAAAAATATAGTAATATATAATAATTAACAAATATATAAAAGTTCTATCAGTACTAAGAACTATATTCTAGATCTATTAGGAATTTCTTACCAAAAGAATTTGTTGAAAAGTAATTTAATTAAAAACAATATAATTTACAATGACATATTATATCAATTTATATAAAAAGTTGCACAACAAGGAAATTTTTATTGAAAGAAACAATTCAACAAAAATCAAAGTTTTAGAAGGATAGCAAAACGAGTTCCTTTTTACATTTCTTTTTATACTAGATATGGAAGAGTGAAAATTAATCTTTGCTTTTTACATGAGGAGCTGTTGCAAGACACTTTATTTTCTGAAGCAAACAAGACAATACACTTTCTCGAAACCAACGATCCTTCGTTCCAACCATTCTCGTAGCCTCTCGTGTAACTTTAAAGCTATATAAATTATTTCAACCGGTGTACTTGTGGAAACGATCACCTTTCAGTCGCCAGTAACCATTGCATTTTCGTTGGAAAAATAAGGAAAGTAACGATAATATTCGTATCTTATCAGAAACGTGTTTGCAATTCGTTACATCATATTCCGTTTCAAATTAGAAAATTAAAATTGTTAACAGTTCGTAGGATCAATTGCAATTTACAGATTTTGCTTTTCGAATAAATTACAAATATTTATTTTCAAAACAATAAAATTTTACTTCGTACATAACATTTGAGTAGGGAAATTTAGCATGGGTTGAAAGTGATGTAGTATATTCTAATCATCAAATGTTTGATTATTAATTCAAAAGGGAATTGTCATTTCAATAATGGATGGATTAGTCCATCAAAATTTTTATACTCTCATATGAAAGAATTGAGAACCACGGTTAGAGGATAAATTAGTTACTACACGTATTTTAAATAAAGCATTAGTGTTGCCAAATAAAGCACAGTGTTCTAACTTGGGTGCTCGTTTGAGCACAGATAGAAAAAATTGGATCTAAAATTAGATTTCAAATACAATGCTATAAATTATTTCTCTGACCATTCTCTGACTATTTATCTAAACACATTTTAAACTTTGATATAATCCTTAATAGACCATTATCTTTTTTGATTTTTGAAATTAATTTATTTATCTTTTATAACATTGACTATTACAAATTAAATTTCAAATATTCTAATTCTGTACATATATATTACAACTGATCTTATTTTGAATTTGTATGAGAATAAAAAATATTTATATATTTTAGTTCAATAGTTAAATAAAGAAAGATATTACATTTTTATTTTTAAACTATAAATTGAGGAATTATATAGAAATAATAGAAAATATGGAACTAATTCAAAAAATTTTACGATCCATCATTGTGATTCACATAAAATTTAATGAAGCGTGTAT